TTTTCACACCAAAAGAGTGGCGGAGAGGAGCAGGTGACAAAAACGAGCTGACTCGACAAGATCAGAGCGCTGAGTGAAAGGCTGAGCCCGGGGAAGGGGGGAAGGTGCCTTCGGGGCAAGGGTGTGCCTCAGTTTCCCCTTCCCAGCCTGGGGAATTTGGGCCTAAGGTGGGATTGGGAATTCTGTTTCCCCGGGGAGGGTGGGTGTTTCGGGAAGGGGGACAGGGAGAGGGGATAAAATAAGGGGTGAGCTCAGCTCTCCCAGGTACAGGAGGCTGCACTTTATGGAAATAAAGTGAATTATGGTGGGGAAGGGTGGGGAGGGGTATGGAGGGGACCCCCCCACCCCGGGATGTGCAGCAGAGAGATGAGCAGCTCCCAGGGATGCCAGTGTGGATCCCCACACACTGATTTATGCCAGGAAGACAAGAAACAGCAAAAAACATCCAACACCTCTGGAAAAGGAGGGGGAACCCCCCCCCCCAAGCCAGCACCTCAGCACCTTCCCAGCCCCGAGTGTCACCTTTGATCCATCCACAGCTCAGCACAGGCTGCCTGGGGGGGGCTCAGTGCCAGCTTGGTGCGTCCTGCCTGGTCTCACAGTGTGGGGGGGACACGGGGGTGCGAAGTCCCCCTGCCACGTCCCGGGGTGGGCACAGGGAATGGAGGGAGCTGCCGAATCACACCGGCCACAGGCGGCTGATTTCAGGGCAAGTGGTCGCTGATGCCACTGTCAGCCCCCAGGGGGTCTGGTCACAGCCCCATCTCCCCTCAGCTCTTCCCAGATTTGGGGTGACTTGACCCAAACCCCCCCAAACCTGAGAAGCTCAGCCCTTGCCTGGCACCACACGGCACCCAGGGGTGCCCGGATGGAGCACAGTAGGGTTTGGCACTGGGGAAGGGGGAGCCAGTGGCTCCAGGTAAGCTGGGAATGATCCTGGCACTGCCCAGGGCAGATGGGTTGGAGTACGATTGGCATGGATTGGTGCCGTGGGAATGGCATGGATTGGTGCCATAGGGATAGCATGGATTGGTGCCAGCTGGTGATGCCCAGTGCCACACAGCTGGCACAGCTGGGTGCCCTGTGGTTGGCGTGGGTTGGTGTCATATGGTTGGCACGGACCGGTGCCGTGGGGATGGCGTGGGTCGGTGCCAGGGTGTGGCTCAGGTTGGCGCTGTTCGGTGACAGCCGGTGATCCTCGGTGCAGCCACGAGCCGTCAGTGCCCTCTGGAGGCAGCTCCGAGGTGGCACCGGGCACAGGACACACCGTGTGGCACCAGACACCCCCAACCCAGGGACCTGCTCAGCTCCAAATTCCCGGGGCACAGCGAACTGATTTTGGGGGGCAGGATCCCACCTGCTGCAGTACCTCAACGTGGGGAACCCTCAGGGAGCCCTCCCAGAGCGGGTCCTGTCCCCACCCTGGGTGTGACGCCCCACAGACTGTCCCCATGTGCCCCCACCCCTGCCCACCAGAGTGGGGACCCCCCAGCACAGCCCAGCACTTACTGGTCGTCGCCCACCTTCTTCACCCAGGCCATGTCCCGCTCCGACTGCTCCTGGGGACAGCAGACACCCCGTCAGCACCCAGACCCCCACCCTGCAGGGCAGGGGGTGTCCCCACACGGCCTGACCCCCCCCGTACCTGCTCCCGGCTGTCCTGCAGGTGCTTCAGCTCCGCCTGCAGCCTCTCGCACTCGGCCTTGAGGTGCTCCTCGCGGTGCTGGGCGCGCTGGTTCTCCTGCCGGGCCGCCTCCAGCTCTGCCTCCAGCCTGCCCTGAGCCTCCAGCCTGCCCTGAGCCTCCAGCCTGCCCTGAGCCTCCAGCCCCCGGCTCTGCCAGCCCCCGGCACGCTCCAGCACTGCGGGTACCAAACAGAATCAGCCCCGGCCCTGCCCCAGCCAGGGGGGTGTGGGGGGGCCCGGTGGGTGGGGAGGGGGCTGCTCACCGTGGCTCAGCCCGGGGTTGGGGTGCAGGCTGATGAAAGGCACCTCCTGGCCGGGCAGGGGGGTGCCCAGCCCCGGGAAGGTGCTGCCATCGCGCTGCCGCAGCTGCTGCTCCAGGCTCCGGATGCGGCTCAGGTGAGTCTCCACCAGCGCCCGCTGCCCGGGCAGGGGACAGGGATGAGCTGAGCCCCCTTCTCTGGGGCTCACCCTGCCCCAAACCCAGCCTTTGGGGTCCCCGTGGTGCTGGGAGGGGAACTGTCCCAGCTCAGATGAGGGTGGTGTGGTGGGGGTGGCCCTTCAGCTGGCAGGGCCTCATCTGGACGGGAGAGGGGAGCCAGGGAAGCCCACCCAATCCTGGAAACAGGACTGGCACCACACTTGGCAGGGTTGGCGAGGGAAGATGGGTAAAGCTGAGCCACGTGCATCCCTATGATCCCCAACAAACGGGGCCAAGCAGCCACGGTCCCCCCAGCCCTGCATCCCCTGGGATGGAGATGCCATCAGCCCTGCTGCTGCCACGGGGAGGGGAAGGGCACCCCGACGTCCCCAGACCCCAGGGGGCCATCACCCACCATCTCTCCCAGCTCGGTCTCCAGGTCAGCCTTCTCCACACACAGCTTCTCGTACGCCTGGATCATCTCCTCCAGCTGCTCCTCCCGCTCTTTGCTCTTCTGCAGCTGCCAGGGGAGCAGTGGGGGGTGGGTGGGCAGCTCGGGGACCCCCCGATCCCCCCCCCATCCCTGCCATCCCCGCTCACCTCGTGCTGGAACTGGTTGAGCTGCTGCTGCAGCGACGCCTTCTCGCTCTTGAGCAGCGACGTCTCCTTGGCCTCGTAGAGGGAGAAGATGTGCTCCTCCCCGAACTCGCCGATCAGGGGGTACTGCGGCCGCGGGGCAGGGGGTCAGCGGGGCCCCCCCCGGCCCCACAACCCCCCCCCGGCCCCTCCCAACCCCTCACCTTGACCTCGTACATCTTGAGGCGGCGCTTGAGCGTGGAGTTCTCCCTCTCCAGCCCCGTGAGCCGGTTCTTGATGTCGTCGTAGGCGGTGATGAGGGCGAAGTGCGAGGCCGAGCACATCTCCCCGGACAGGTCGGTGTTGGGGCTGTCCAGCCAGTCCTCGTCCGGCCCCAGCGCCTCCTGCGTCAGGATGCTGATGTCGTCCTCGAACATGGAGTCCATGTCCTGCCTGGGGGGACACGGCACGGACAGACGGACACACAGACACCGCTGATCCCGGGGCAGGGATGGACCTGGTTGGGGGCAGCCCCCGGAGCTGTGGGGACAGGGGGGTGGGATCCAGGATGGATGAGCACAGGTGGGGCCTGGGGACAGAGTGGGGCTCGAGGGAGCTCAGCGTGTCCCAAAAACAACGGGTGATGGAGGAGGGACAATCCCAGGAGCTGCCACAGCAACGGCCTCTGTCCCCACCAGGGACAGGAGGGACAGGGGTCCTGACACCCCCCGAGCCCCCCCATCACTGCTGGGGACGAGGGTGAGAGCAGAGCCCATCCCCAGCAGAGCACCCAGGCAGGGGGGACACGGTGACTTTCCCCCCCATCCCCTCGGGGAGCGAGCACCAGAAATAGCGTCCGGTGCCGCTGCCTCCCGCCCTGTGCCGCACGAGAGCTGCTTCCCGGCCTCCCACGCCTCGGTGCCGGCACAGCCCGCGCCGTGCCCTATATATCGGCACTGCTCTCACCCCCTGGGGCCCACCTGCCCCCCTGCACCACCCAGGGGGATCCCCCCCACCCGGCCACAGAGCCCACCCCCCAGACGAGGATTTTGGGTGGAGGGGGATCCCAAATCCGCCGCCTCCGGTGGTTCCCAGGATGTCTGGCAGAGCAGTCCCGGTGGGAACAGCGTCTCGAGGTGGTGAGGTGGCGGTGCCCAGGGTGCTGAGCCCCACGTGGTGCCCCAGCACTGCCCCCTGTCCCACCCAGGGACCCCACAGACACGGGGGTGGCCGCCGGGCAGGCACAGCCCCGCCGGCTCAGCAGACATCTGGGAGCCACAGCCGCACAAATAATTCATAGCACAAAGCTGGGAGAGGGAGGAGAGATCTGCAGGGGGATGAGGGGGGATGGCACAGCCCTCCCCGAGCCACTGATGGAGCCTGGGGGCAGCCCAGCCCCACTGGCACCACCAGGCCGGGAGCTCCCGTGGGCAGTCGAGGGCTGACCAGGGATAAACCCCCCAGCACCCTGACCCCTCCTCTGTCCTCCCTGTGAGGGTCCCAAACCCACCCTGACCCCTCCTCTGTCCTCCCTGTGAGGGTCTCAGATCGACCCCCGGGGCGGTGATGGACGGGACCCACCTCTTGGTGCTTGGGCACCATCCTCACCCCTTTGGGGAAACTGAGGCACCCCCATAAGCCAAGAGGAGACTCCCCAGGCTCTGGCGACCCCTCAAAGCAACGAACCCCCTGGTTTGTTGTGCCGTTGTGTTCCCAGAGCCCTGCCCAGGCCCTGCCTGGGGGTTCCATGGGCACAGGACCCGCTCTGCCCCCAACACACCGAGCCTGGAGGCAGCTCTGCACCCCCAGCCTGGCCTGGAGCTCCCTGGCCCAGCCTTGCCACTCCCCAAAACTCCCGTGGCTCAGTTCCCCCACCCGTACCCCTCAGTGGCACCCACCTGGCAGAGGGCCCCAGGGGTGGGGCGAGGCGGCGCGGGCTGGGCAGGGCTGCGGCGCGGGCACGCGTGTCTCAGGCGTGGGCAGGGCGGGCACGCGTGTCTCAGGCGTGGGCAGGGCGGGCACGCGTGTCTCAGGCGTGGGCAGGGTGGGCAGGCGTGTCCCAGGCGTGGGCAGGGAGCCACGGTGAGCGGGTGCTCCAGAGATTGTCCACGGGAGGGTCAGGGGGAGGCGGTGACGCTCTCATGAGGTTCCAGGGTTGACAGCCAAGGTCCCCACGGCAGCGACGCTCCCTCCACACTCCCTCCACGCTCCCAGCCCCTCCTCGAGGCCTACAAACGCCTTGGAAAGGAGCGAAAATGGGGCTGCATCTCCCTGGTGCCGGGACAGCCGGAGGCAGCTCAGAGATCAGGCATGCCCGTGGGAATAGGGCTGGGAATGGGATGTGCCGGGCAGTGGGTGCTGCCGGGCAGCTGGCACCCAGCTGGTGTTGGGGATTGACCCCACTCCACTGCCTGACCCCCTCTGGGGGTCGGGAGGGTGCACCCCATAGGACCCAACCCAGGGCAGCTCCTCCAGCCACGCACCCCCTGCCCCGAGCCTCGGGGGGCTGCGGGGGGGAACAGCCCCCTCCTCATTGCTGGGATGCTCTGGGCACCTTCCCAGCTCTTGGGGGCTGAGGGGAGGGGGCGATGCCACGGCCAGGGCCACGAGGAAGGGCAGCGGAGTGAAAGCGATGTGGAAACGGCGTGGAACAGGCGTGGAAAGGGGGTCAGTGCGCAGGTGAGCCCGGGGGAGGGTCGCAGTGGGGGATGCGGGGGGGGTCCGGCCTGTTTACCGGAGCCTCCGGTAAACCCTCCCCGAATACCCCCGGCCCGGGCCGGGTCCGCCCGGCCCCCCCGCGTCCAGCCCGGGGCCGCAGCGGGCCGGGGGTCTCCGGGAGGGGGACGGGGACGGAAACGCAGGAGGGGTCCGGGGCGGAGCCGGGATGGGGATGGGGATGGAGCCAGGATGGGGATGAGGATGGAGCTGAGGATGGGGATGGAACCGGGATGGAACAAGGGACGGAGATGGGGGGACGGAACCGTGGATGGGGATGAGGATGTAGCCAGGAACGGGGATGAGGTTGGGGATGGGGATAAGGATGAGAAGGGAGCCAGGGATGGGGATGGGGATGGAGCAGGGGATGAGGATGATGATGAGGACGGAGCCGGCGACGAGGATGAAGCCTGGGATGGACCCGCGGGATGAAGGCGGCGGGGGGAGATGGGGATGGAGACGGGAATGGGGTCGCGATGTGGCGGGAGGAGACAGGCCCGATGGGGTGGGGGCAGCCCGCTGTCCCCCCCCGCGCCGTCCCCCCGCGGTGTCCCCCCGGCCCAGGCCCCGCACTCACCGGCGCTGATGCTGCGCTGCGGCGGTGCCCGCCGGGATGCGGCTCCGTCCCCGCCCCGCCGGGTCCCGCTCGCGGTGCCGCTCCCGTCCCCTGTCCCCGCCGCAGCCCCGGCCCCGCCGCCGTTTCTTCCGCTCCGGAGACACCGACGGACCACGTGGGCACCGGGCGGCCGCCAGCCCCTCCCCCGCCACGCGCCGGGGCCGCCCCCGGGGCTGTGACCCCCCCCCGGGGCACACCGGTCCCCGCGATGCTCCCGGGGGGACACACGAGCTGCCCCGGACCCCCCGTCCCTCTGACACCCCTGCCGTGCCCGGCCCCGGGAAGGGGGAGCCCCTGTCCCCCGCCCCCTCCTGCGCCCGGGAAACCCCCAAAAAGGTGGTCCCGGGGCCGGGGGGGGCTTCTCCCTTCATCCCCCCGGGGTGGTCATGGCAGAACCGCAGCCCCTCACGGTGGGGGCTGGGCTCCCCCTCTGCCCCCTCCCCCTCACCCCCCCGAACATTTTATTCCCTGAATTGTTCTCGGAGCCGCTTCCATTATGGAATTACATCTTTTCCCTGTGCAGTGCAGGGTTATTAATAGCTGCTCTCCTTTCGCCGCCGCTGCTGCTGCTCCAGCTGGGCTCTGGGGGAAGGACCCCTGCAGCCCCCCGGGCTGGGGGATCCCTGCCACGTCCCAGATCCCGCAGGGACAGGCCCACGGCACGGCAAGGACAGACCCACGGCGTGGACACGGCTCTGCTTGACCCCAGTGGCACGAGGATCCCTGGAAAGGCCTCATCCCACCCCACGGGAGGAACTGGGATGAGGGACTGGGGGGATCCAGCAGCAAAGGTGAGCTGGGAGCTGCTGGAGCAATCCTGACCCCGACCATCTGCCTCCATCACTCCTGGCTCATCGGGAGAGGGGAAAAGGAGTCGGGGCAAAACCCGGCTTGGGCTTCACCCGGCCCTTTTACCCCCCTGGAGACCCAAAGGGAGCGAAGCTTCCAGCTGGGAGCACCCACTGGGCTCCCATCCCAGATCCCCCTGCCCAGCACTGCATCCAGTGCCTGGATGGAGCCTTGGATATGCTGGGAGAGCGTGGTGGTGATCCAGGACCTGGAGCATTGCCAGGGGCACAGACAGACCCCTGCCCGCCCAGGGCTGGCCTTGGTGGGTACTGCCCATGGGGTGCCAGAATACCCAGTGATTCCAGTCTGGAATCACGACTGGAACAGAAGCTGGGGCCGAAAATGCATCACAAGGCCTGGAATGTTTTGGGAGGCTGATGCCAGGCGGGCACTGGGCTGCTCTGATGCTCCAGTGAGCAAAGCATGGCCGTTTCCATCGGAATTCCTGCCAGGGAAGGGCATTTTGCCTTCGGTGCGTGGCCTGGAGAGGAAAAACAGCTCATGGAGTGTCACCTTTGGGCCACGGGAACGGGCTCTGCCGCAAACAGGGCCCCGGAAAAATCCAGTGCCAGCTCGGGCGGATTTGCTGCAAAGCACTTTGAAGTGCAAATTAAGGTTTTCCATCAGGTTGGAAGTTAATTTTGACGCAAAGGGAAACAGCCTGGCCCCGGCCCTGGTGTGTGTGGGATGGAGGCAGTGCCATGCTGGAGATGCACAGCCCTGGGGGACCCCCCTGAGCCCCCCGGGGAGGGGCAGGAGGTCCCTGGGCACTGAGGACAAGCCTTGCAGCCACCCCTGGAGCTGTCACAGGTGTGATGCAGGGAGGAGGAACAGGAGGAGACTCCAGAGGCAGGAGGAGAGATCCAAGCTCCTGTGATTGTCCCCCACCTAAGCCAGACTGCAGGATTTGGGGTCCCCACTGCACCCCCCCAGCCAATCCTGCATCTGGGAGCTGCAGACAGAGCTGGATCCAGCCTGGCCATCCCATGGGATGCTCCGCTCTTCCCGAGCCTGAGCTCCTCCCATGCAGCCACCTCGCCCCAGGACATCAGGGATGTGGTGGTGGGAGGCAAGGGGAGCACTGGGGGCTCCCCACAACCCCTGCATCCTTTTGGAATGCTGGGGATGGGAAAAGGCCACTAAAATCCCCTCAAATCCACATTTGTCCCTCCCTGTGTCCCAGGAGCCTCCTTTGCCTGCCAGGAATGGTCCCTGGACTCCAGGCCCTGCCCTGTGCCTGGGGCTGCTTCCCTGCATTTCCAGCGTCCTCCCGCCTGCATTCCCATCCCAGCTCCGTGAATTATTTAACTCTAATGCATCTCGGGCACCCTCGGGGCCTCAGCTCGCCAGGGCACTTCCATGGAGCCTGTGGCAGGGAATGATGGAGAGCAGGGAAGAGCAGGGGAAGAAAAGCAGCGGGAGAAGAGCAGGGATCTCTCCCAGCTCCCAGCCCAGGATTCCTGGAGGCTGCCAGTTCTGCACACAAGGCCTGGGCTGTGCTGGAAACGTCAGCTGAACCCAAAAACGTCCCTTCCATCATCCTCAGTGACAGTCCCGGGTTTGTTCCCGCATTAACCCCTTTCAGGAGGAATTAAGGAGCCCCTCGGATCCCTCAGTCCGAGACTTTACCTGCCATGACCCCTCAGTCCCATCAGCTCTTCCGCACTCACCCTGATCCTGATCCTGATCCTGGCTCAGTGCCCATGTGGCACATCTGGGCACATCTGGGCACTGGAATCAGGGAGAATTGGTGTCTCCCATCTGGATTCCCGGGATTTCAGCATGGCAGGGGAGCCCCAGCAGGTGAGGGCCCGGGAGCAGTGCCGGTGTAGCCACGCAGGGATGATCCCTGTGGAATGGGAACGATCAGGAGGATCAGGAATGATCAGGAGGGATGTGGCTTCTCCAGAACACCCCGGTACCTGCAGCAATGGGCAAAACCACCTCAACAAGGAAAAAAAAGCTGCCAAGTTCAGGTCCCCTCGGCTGGGAAGTTGTTTTCCAGAGGGTGACACCAACTCCAGGGACACAGTGGGTGCTCTGTCCCCTCATGGAGCCACCCCCGGGGTGGGAAAATGCCAGACAGCGACTGGGAGGAGGCACTGAGGCCACGGCAGCTCCTCTGAGGCTCCAAACCCGAGCTGTTGCTTGTTTTTCCCACCTCTCCCTGTGGGGAGCTCAGCACGCCGGGGGAAGATGCTCCACGCTCGGGCCAGCAGCGGGGAAGGGCCCGGGGGGCTGATCCTCGGGATGATGTGGGGAAGGGTCCGGGGGGCTGATCCCGGGGATGACGAGGGTGTCCCCGGGTGCCGGGGTGGCACATAGGGCTGATGACACAGCGCTGTCACCTCCGGATCCCCCGGAGAGGAAACGGGAGCTCGTCACTCCCGGAGCGCTCACCCACCCACGTGTCTCCGACACGGCGGGGGAAGGATCCTGGCAGCGGCCTCGGGGAAAATGAGGCAGCAAAAGGAAAGGGAAGGAAAACAAAAATAAGTGGGATTTGGGGGTATTTGGGAGGTAAATAAATGGCTCCTCCCCGGGGTGTTTTCCCCGCGGTTGTTACGGGGAGGGTGGAGGGAGGGAAGGGGGTGATGGCTGATGGGTGAAGGCCGAGGAGCATCAAGGGGGTGGTTCCTTCATCGATTAATTGATAAAATTTGATTAATGAAACAATTTGGAGCTGCAGTTTCGGGGTTGTGTTGGTGGGGTGTGAGGTTAAGTTGGGGGTTGGTTGAGAGGGGCAGGGCGGGACAAAGGAGCAGAGGGGAGTTCTCACTGACAGCCCTTCCCGGAGCCGAATCTCGGGCAGTTTGGGATATCCAGCAGTGCCAAAGCTCCAGTAGTTTGGGATCTCTGGGAGTGTGGAATGCCCAGCGGTTTGGAATCTCTGGGAGTTTGGAATCCCTGGAAGTTTGGGAAGTTTGGGATCTGCAGCACCACCCAATGCCCAGCCTGGGCAGCCTCTGCTGAGCCGACCGCGTTTCAATTCTAGAGCTGAAACGAGACTTGGAGGAAGAAAATAGTAATAATTTTTTAAAAAAAATCACATTATTTATTCTATTCATTAATACTTATTCTATCAATTAAACTTGCCAAGCAGCGAAATCAGCTTTTTAAAAAAATAAAACTAAATAAAAGAGGTGTTTTGCCCTCAGTCCACAGCGATGGGATCGGGGATAACGGGGAGGCTCCCGCTCTGCTGCCGCGGATTTTGGGAAGATTCCCAGCACCAAACCCCCCAGAACAAAGAGCCCAGACACAGGTTTGTTCCACTACTGTCTCTGTACTTTATTCTCCTGCTGTCTACAGCCTTTACAGCCACACAGGACAGACACAGGTCGCACTGAGGAATGCTCAGGTTCCTCCCTCGCGCCCCTTTTCCCCAGGAATGGCTTTTTGCTTTTTTTTTTTTTTTAATAGTTTTTTATTTTTTAAAATTCAT